CCGAAGAGGTGGGGGGGGGATTTACGACGTTGGTGAAACAATCTGCAGAGTTTTCGAAAGAAGCAAGAGAGCGCTCACAACACACACCCTACCTACCCCTCCTCACCTCTCCAAGACCCCTCCAACCAGAAATTCGCAAAAGCAGGAGAAAAGACATAGCGAGAACACACACGCACGCACATAAGACAAAACGAATACAGAAAAGGAAGAAGTGAAAAGAAAAGAAACAGCCATGAGCAAACCAGATCCTCTTTCCCCCCTCCCCTTCCCAAAACCCACCATAATTCCCCCGCGCGGCCCGCACACCCACACCCTGATCTTCCTGCACGGCCGCGGCGATAACTCCCTCGACTTCAGCACGGACATCATCACCGCCCCTCTCCAGATCCCCACGCCCTCCAACCCGGCCAGCACTTCGCTCCCCCAGCGCTTCCCCGGCATCAAATTTATCTTCCCGGACGCGAAAATCAGCCGCTCCACCGCGGGCGCGAACTCGATGATGCAGCAGTGGTTTGATGTCGCGACGCTACGGCCCGTGCACGAGAGGGAGTGGGAGCTGTCGCGCGACGGGCTGCGGGCCTCGGTGCGCTATCTGCTGGAGCTTGTCAGGGAGGAAGGGAAGGTTCTGGGCGGGGTTGGGAAGGTTATTGTGGGCGGGCTTAGTCAGGGGGCTGTGGTCGCCTTGGGCGCGGCGGTGGCCTTCGATGCGGAGGTTGATGGGGATGGGGAGGCGCTGGGGGGCTGTGTGGCTATGAGCGGCTGGTTGCCATTCCAGAGGGAGTTGGACGAGTTAGTTGGAGGGGGCGGCATGGGGAAGGAAAAAGGCGGTGATGATGGTGGTGAGGCAGGCACCGCCGTCGTAGATGAAGATGAAGCGGAAGATGAAGCGGAAGACGCGAAGGAACGGCGTTTACGGTCCGGTTCGAACCTAGCTGCCAGAGCGACAAATTGGTTCCGCGAGAATATACTGGGTATTCCTCCACCCGCTGTTCCGACCGCGCAGTCGCAGCCACCCTCGCGGTCACCCTCACACCCCAAGACCCCCATCTGGATCTCGCATGGGGCGCTGGACGAGCATGTGTTGCCCCAGTTCGGCGAAAACGCAGCGAAGACACTAGAGAGGCTGGGTTGGAACGTCACGTTTATGTTATATGACGATCTATCGCATTGGTTTATGCCGGATGAATTGGCGGATATGGCGATTTATCTGAATTTGGTGGTTGGCGTTCCGGATGCGGAGTGAAAATTTTATTTTTCCCTTCTTCTGTTCCGACAGCATAGGGGTAGTAGGGTAGGGGGTAGAAAAATACGAAAAAAATCGCGAAGAATGGGAAATTTTTGAATGCAAGGGAGGAAGGGCTGGGTGTGCGACTACCTATGAAAAGAAGTATGTGAGGTGAACCTCTCTTTTTTTCTTGTCTCTTGACAACTGGGATGGTGAGTTTTTTCCACATGGCTGCTCTCCCCTTTGTCCTTTTGTCCTTTTCTCCTTGTATTTAATGGCGATCTAGATTTAGGTTTTAGATTCCCCCCCCCCCCCCCCCCCAATATCTTCATCCAACCTCAGTCGTCTAGGAATTACGTGTTAGGAATTTAACGACCAAAAAAGTCGAATTTCATCTAAAACAGCAACATTGTTGGCTGAAATGAAGTAAATTTGCAATCGATCTGAAGCATACGGTCAAGGGAGGACTCCGAGCTCCCAACGCCCCTTACTTGTTTTAATTTTTATTTCTACTGAGATCGTATGTGCGTACATAACCAATGGATTAATTAACCCTTTTTCTCCCTGTAGGAGGGAGATCTTAGGTAGGATAATAATACAATGATACCGATGGAGGTGGGAGGTTGGGTTGATTGCTTCTGTCTAGCGGGCGCAGGGTTTTTTTTATATAGGCGTGTGTGGTGGTGATATTAAGCGGTGGGCATTAGGGGCTGCCAGCAGATAACAAAAAATAGGGGAAGAATTTGTTCCCCAAAAACTGTGTATAGGGCCATAGCAACCTTCTCTCTTTCAATTGATTATATCGATATAGATGAGGCATGCAGGATAGATGGATATATATATAATAATAACGATATATAAGTGTAAAATTACAAAAGGAAAAGGGAAAGGAAACACTAGTGTAGCTGGTCAATCTACATTAACAAAGACGTTGCTGAAAGCAAAGGCAAAAAGCAGAGAGGGAAGAGAGAGAGGTATGGAACCCAGACGGCCCCGCCCCCCCAACAAAAACACAGAATCCATTGGTAGCCAAAATACAAATAGACATATTCAAGCCTCAAAATGAATTAATAAAACAGTAAAAGGCGAAAGAATTGAAAAGAACCACCACATCTATAAGACAAAAGTACAGCGTAGGCATCGCCAAAGATAAAAAGGAATAAGAAAAAGAAAAACAAGGTTCAAGCCCTCCCCTCACCTCCTCCCCAACTGCCACATCGCAATCCGTTCCTGAATCTGCTCCTTCTGTACCGGCTGGAACGGAACCCCATCCACCATCCCCTCCTGCACCACAACCGTCGGCATCCCCGTCCCGTTCCCCTTATTACGCACATGGCCCCCAAGAACCTCCCGCGCCACCCGCCGCAGGTCGTCCGCCGTCAACGCATCGATCCGCGCACTCATCTCACGTACCCCAACCCGGCGCCCGTGCGCCTGCACCTGCCGTCCCAGGTCCTCCAGCTCCACCATGCGCGACTCGAGGTTCATCAGTATCGCGGAGCGTAGCTGGTTCTTCGCACGGTTGACCTCCGTGGGCTGCAGGGTGGTGAAACGCGACCCCGTCGTCAGCGCATGCAGCTCTCTGCAGATCACATCGACCGTCACGGTGAGGCGGGACGGGACGCACGAGGCCGAGATCCCGAACAGCCCGCTGTCCGTGTAGCTGTGGTTGAAAGCCATGCAGCTTTCGACCCAGCCGTGCTGGTTCAGCACGTTGGTGTAGAGCCGCGAGTGCATGCCCTTGCCCGGCCCGCCGGCGGAGAAGGAGCCGCCGCCGCCCAGCAGCATTTGGAGGGTGGCGAGCGCGTAGATGTCCTGCGAGGAGATAGGTGGCCCTTCGAAAGCGATGTGGATGTGGCTGAGGCGGGGCTGCATGGGGTTGGCCGGCGGGGGGATGGCCGGGAGAGAAAGGAAGCCGCCTGTGTAGTGCGAGGCGCGGTGGAGGTCGAGGGTGGATGGGTGGATGAAGGGAGGGGTC